CAAAATTACTCACTAGACCATATTTTATTAAAACAAAGGAACACTAAACAAATAAGGTGAGCAGAATTCAACTTAATTAGCGTAATTGTTAGTTATAATACAAAGATTAATTAGCTGACGTAACTTGTATTTTACTTGGCTTCTGTTTGCCCAACAAAAGATAGGATAAGGAAACCATTGTTTCTCGAAATATTCTAGTTATACCTATACAATTTTTTTTAATGACCCTATTTGTTCGAGTAGGCTCTGGCTATATAATCACAACAACAGTAACAGTTTGTTCGTTTCTCGAAAATATATACATAATTTGCGAAAATTCAACTCTTTAGTTATTCAGCTAAATTCTGTCTTTAACGTTGTCCAATTCAAGGACGGTGCCGCCCTCAGGGCATAGTTGGTCTAGTCGTAAACTAAAAGCCAGGGCCAACATACTCAAAATTCATTAAAAAATATGAGACAGACTGGTGAGATGAGAAGTCGTAATAGTGGGGTCCCGTTATACCCTTTGCGTAATATTTGGCACAGAACCCCGTAAGGGTGTCTGTACCAAATATTATCAATTTATGATAATTACATAAATTATTATCAATTTAATATCGATTTAATTTACAGACGATCAGCTTTCTGAACTATTACTGACCAAATCTTTTTTTAGATGTTTTTGAATTTTGAACCCAGAACCTCCTTAGTATGAGCATTGGTAGGCAACGCGTTTAAATAAAACACTTTAACGGTTTAAAACGCGATATATTAGTTAAACTTGTGTGATCACGGGGAGAGAAAGATCTTTAGTCTCCCTGTGACCACGGCTGCTGCAAAGCATCCGAAACGTTGGGCCGAAGTTAAAAATCATTTGCAAATAAGTTTTACTAATATATCTCGTTTTAAGCCGTTAAAGTGTTCTATCTAAATGTGTACTATTCGCGTAAACTATAGACAGTATTTAGGCAACGCGTTTTGCGACAGTGCTAGGTTTTAGAAACAATGAAACAAAACCGTTAATCCAACCATCCATCAATGACAAGGAATAGGGTTGCCTACCGTCCTATGAAGTTATATTTGACTATTATAATGTGAGAAAAATACAATATTTTCAACACTTAATTGTAACAAATAAATCTTTTTTTTTTCAATCTATATTACGTATGTGTTTTACAATATCTTTTGAGAGCTGTAAAATAATTTTCCATTAAGCACTTTTCTATTTGTACTATATTTGAGGCCCATTTATACATATACTATATTTCGACGAAACGATGGCAACCCTAAAGGATAGAGATTTTGTGGAAGTGATTTGTTGTCAAGAAGAGATGGATTAGGCCCATACTGTTATAAGAAATGCCCACAATAATGTAACATTATGACGTCCTATACTCTTATGCGGGGTAAGGGGCAAACTTCAAGTGAAATATTTTCTCCGTATACGAACCCGGCTCATTCGATCGGTTCGAACTTAATACGAAACGTCCACGTATATACCAACTTTTGCATGGTATTTATCCTCTATCAAATTATTTTGCCTCTCATCAAATTTCTGTCAATAATATGTCGCTAGTACTGAAACGAATATTGTAGTAATAATTCATTTGATGGATTATTATTTGAATATCTGACCTCAAACTGTCCAATGATATTTTATGTCGAGTTATTGAATTCTAATGAAAAAAGTTTGCACTGCAGTATTCAGATGTATTATTGTACGCGTTAGGGACAAATTATTTTCTGTTACAGTAGTATGATGTCAAATGTGCACACCAACTTGTAACGTAGATAAACATAACGCCCAACTTACGGCACATCAAGATTTCGCCAAAATTAATAAAAGTTTGACAATAAAGCCTTGATTTCAATTTTCGCACCGCAAACTTAATACAAAGAAAACACAATTTCAGAATCATAATGGAAAACTTGGGGTTGTATTTTACGTTTAAACATAAACCGTATTAGAATTTACCTCTTAAAATTACGCGGGGAAAAAACAATCAATCATTTTATATTTAAATTTTGAAAAATAGGTATAGTGTAAAATACTCACTGTAATTTACGCAAGTAGTACACATTTAAATAAAACACTTTAACGGTTTAAACGCGACATATATTCGTAAAACTTGTGGATGTGATTTTAACTTCGGCCCGACGTTTCGAATGCTTTGCATAAGCCGTGGTCACGGGGAAACCGTGTGTGAGTGGATTTAGGGGTTTTATTTAAAAACGGTTAGTGTATTTTATTTACTTGGCAAAAGACCACAACAAACCATAGAGAACTAATGATAATATTTCATAGAGTGAAGTTGTAGCCACAGATGATACATGAATAAAGAATTATACATGGACCAAACGATCTCAGTATTCAAAAACGACTTCTATGACGATCTTTTTTTTTATTTTTTACGTCGTTTAACTCGACGTTTGAAATGCTTTCCAAACATCTACCCCCAATTGTTGTAAATGTCAAACTAAAGAAAGTTAATTCTGTCCATTTTTGTTATTATGCATGTATTATTATGTAACATGAAATTGTGGTTTTCGAGTGACTTTGAGTTAGTTTATTTAGTTTAATATATAATTCAGTGTCTCAAGATGATTTTAGAGTAAATATTGATTTACATTGGTAAAACTTATGAGAAAATCAATCAAGGTTTCGTGTAAATTGTGTTTGTTTAACAAAAATGCTAAGTCTCCCCGTGACCATGGCTGTTGCAAAGCATCCGAAACGTCGGGCCGAAGTTAAAAATCATTTTCAAATAAGTTTAACTAATATATCGCGTTTTAAACCGTTAAAGTGTTTTATTTAAAAATGCTAAGTTTGAAAAATGCACTATAAGCATATAACATTTATTTTCTTTATTTGAATGTTATACCTATTCGCAATTAAAGTTTTCTTTCATAGGATATTTAACAGTAATCCAATTTAACAAAATAAGTGTTAAGATTGAAATTACATCATGAAAGAAGTTCAATAATATGAATTGAAAATGTTTTTGTTGATGTAGTTGTAGGTTCCAGTACCGCCAGTATCATACATTTTTTGTCAACCTAAAATTACATCGTATTCAGAAACCAAATACCAAATGTTATTTGAGCAAATATTTTAAGGTAAACTCCAAGAATGACGGGTAACCGTTGTTCTATAATAATTTGTTTGTTTCAAATTGTTCTGTTTCGTGAATGCTTTGTGCATATTTCATTATCTTTATGCGTGGTTTACATTGCAAAAATAAAGTTTTAATTAAACACAACGAGACCAACTTTTCCTCGAATGAGACAGAAACCTAGAAATACCAGTATAATATTTTTCGGAAGGTGAGACAAAACCAAATTTTTGTAAGTTATGCACTTCAACACCCTACCTAGTAGTTATTTAATTAATTAATTAAATAACTACTGTAATTAATGTAAGGGGGTCTCGTGGTCCTTTTAGTGATCCATAACAAAAGGGTAAGAAGTGAAACCTATTACTAAGACTGAAAAGTACCCACATAAAATGCAATTTTGTACTTGTTTATGCTTAGACTATTGAAATAAAAACACTTTAACGGTTTAAAACGCGATATATTAGTTTAACTTATTTGAAAATGATTTTTAACATCGGCCCGACGTTTCGGATGCTTTGCAGCGGCCGTCTCCCCTTGACCACGGCTAAATGTGTACTACTCGCGTAAACTATAGACAGTATTTACGCTTATATTAATAAAATGTATGCAATATGAAATTTGTGTACCAATTTAATGGTACAGAACCATTCTTGCGAAAGTCCTACTTGTTAATGTCATTTAAATCAACCTTAGTTAAACGAATTAATACGGACTATTACCTGTGTGAAAAAAGTCAAATCGCCAAATATGGGGCGGATATATTTCCTTGTTCGTTTCATTGATCGATTTTTTCAGGTAAGCAGTTGGTCAGACTTTTGTAGCCTGTCCGACCGTAACGCAACACGTTTAACCATTTGGCTACAGATACGGCTTTAACTATTATCAAATACCTACTTATTATATATATTCATTCAATTATGTAGATATTTTCTTTTTTAAGACTCAATTAAGTCTTATTGTATGCTGTACTGATAATTCTTAAGGTGTTTCGGTTAAGCATAGTTAGTAGATAAGGATCTAGAGTTATAACTCTAGATCCTAATCTACTAACTAGAAAGAATATTATAAGTGCTATTGCACTTATAATATTCTTTGCGCAACAAGATCAGATTCAAACTTTTGCTTCCTCGTTAGAAATTCAAAACTAGGTTACACTGCTTAAAAATTTTAAGCGCGATAGAGCAAAGCATGTGAAAAGTTTTAGTCTACACTAACAACCTTTGTATCGGCCGTTGGTTTGGTTGCTTTATCTGAATGAAAAAAACACTAAAGATTGGCTTCAATTAAAAATTGTTAATCTGCGCATGCACATCTCAATAGACTGTTTTATTCGCTAAATGTGTGATCAACCAACTTCCTAAACTATCGAAATATAGTGTACGTAGTCTCAAATTTGGCAAAAATATGTAAAATTTAAACCTCACTCTCACGTGTCTAATAACGAGCAACAAAGATGGCCGCTGCGTCATTATGTTGAAAAGCTTACCAAGTATCATTTTCTTTGATAACACCGTTGCTTCAGTTAAGTATAACGATACTCGTGGTTTGGTTTAGAATTTCATACAAATAAATAACCTTGAATCATAATAATATAAGGTAAGAAATTATAAAAAAAAATTAAAGTAAATTTAATTAAAATTCTTTATTTAAGCATTAACACCAAGACTTAAATAAAAAATGTATTATATCCATTTTCCTTTCCCTTTATACTACTATAAACACAACGCAAAAGAATGAAACACAATATAAAGAAAACAACAAAATCGTTTAAATATTAAGCTAGCATTACGCAACTCTGAATCGAATATGACGGCGCGGGTCGTAAAAGTTTTCCAATCTTATAATTTATTTTCCTTCCAGGTGCGGGAAATGTTCCTTCAACCCAGACGCTAAAGGTGAAACGAGATGGCCGTGAATAGTCCGAGCGGTTACCCCCCGCTCTCCCCAAAACCCCTCACACCAAAGAGTCCACGCCATTTCATTTTCCCCCAGAAGAGTCCTTCGATAACCTCCAGCACGTCTTCCTCGGGGTATTACACACCTCAATCTGGCTGCAGTTATGATAAGCACGCGCCCCCAAAGAGTCCACTAGCCCACGGGCACAGAAGTCCCATGAGCCCGCGACACTTCAACTTCAATCCTCAGAAATCGCCGTCAGAACGCTCCAGTCCATGCCACTTCGACAGATCGGGCCTACATTATACCACATCCCTCAAGCACCATCGGCGTGAAAAGTCACGATCGCCGAAACCACCTCCCGTGCACATCCACACGAACCCAGGGTATGTGTCCCCGAATCGTATGAGGAAACTATACGGCTCGACTTCCACAGTTAGTTCGCCGCGCTTGGTGACTTCGCCCAGCATTATATCCAGCCACACTGATGACTCGACTGACGTGGCCAGGACTCCGTCAGCCACAATGCATGACGCTGATGATGAAGCGACTACGACGTCATCGCGAGTCTGTCGCAAATCGACGTCAGACCTCACAGACATAACAGACGATACACCTCAGACGAGGTCGACCAGCATTAGTAGACCATGCTCACCGATGAGGAGGGGGTCAGTGAAAGGGGGGCTTGCGTATCTGGCTAGCAGGAGAGGTTCTAGAGAATCCACAATATCAAACTGCGATTCCGTGGAGGATATTGGGCCGCTGAACTTTCAAAATACAATCCGGGGGCGTCAGAGGCGGACGTCGAATTTCTTGGAGTTACCCGGTAAGTGGTTCTTATGCTTAATTAAAAGGAAGTGAACAAGAGCGCCTAGAAGTGTACTGCATACACCACAGTACAGTTCTAAGCACAGTTAAATTTATTTCCCATCCGTTAATATACAAATTAGAGATTACGGTGTAACACTTTTAGAATGCTAACTAAGGAAATAATATAAAATAAGGAAAATGAAAGATAGGAAATGACAAAAAAAAATATTATTAGGTATTAATGGGTAGGAGTGGGAGATAGGAACTAACTTGAACCCTGGAATGTTGATTTAATACCACTTAGTTACTCCTTATGTCCATAATTATTGTGCAAGAATCCTAAACGAAAGTAAAAAACCTAGTGAACAATACCGCACATAGATGTGATAGTTACAAAGATAAAAATCCAAAAAGAATACATATGAAAAAATGCAAACCTAAATCTAATAAACACATGTTCCTTAATAACTTATGTACATCTAAGAAACAAAGATTTAATTTGCGTATTAATACGCAAGTGTTAAGGTAGAAATTACATTGCGCGAGAGGTGCATGTATCAATAAGTTGAAAAAATTCGACGATGAGGTGTAGGACTCGGTAGCTCAATTGGTAGAGCAACAGCACGGAAAGCTGACGATGCCGGTTCAAGTCCTGCCCGAGTCGAAAATTTTTTCAATTTATTTTCGATTTTTAAATTATATAGTGCCTTCATGTGCAATAACATGTGAAAAATATTAATGTTTTCAAAACAAAGATTTACCCAATTCGGGAAATAAATATTAAAAATATAGAATAAAGTCCTACTGTTATTTTTTTAAATAAAATATATTTTGGACAATTTATATAAAAATCACACAACCACACTGCAAACAGCTGTCGTGCGTGCGCGCTGAATCTCTTTTACATAAAAATTGCCTACCCGCCCCCGCGCCCCACCGAAGCGAGCGTTAACGCATGCGCAAAGTCGATATTTCTAACAAGTGTGACAACGGTGTAATTACTCTTGCTTGAAACAATTTTCGTGAGATTCGAACACGGGACCTCTCGCAGTTAACGCAATACTAAGAACACGTTTAACCATTACGCTATTAATAAGGTGGTTTTATTCTATTAATGGGTTATTAAATACTGTTTGTAATTTATGCGAGTAGTGCACATTAAATAAGATACTTTAAACTGTTTAAAACGCAAATTGTTTTTTTCAACATTGGCCCCACGTTTCGAATGCTTTTTAGCAGTCGCGGGGTGGGGGGTTAAATAAGTTAAATAATACATTTTGCGTTTTAATCCGTTAAAATATTTTATTTAAATTCCAATATTTTCACATTGAACTGTGTTGTACTTAACGTTTGATTCAATATTATGTTCAAAGCCAAAATAATTCGACAACACATCTTATTTAGATGTTATATGCTTCTCTGTTATCCATTCATAAAAATTAACAACAGTTTCATTTGTAAGACTTGTAACTTCATCCTGTATTGATTATTCCATTACATTAAAGCTAGAACCTGTAACACCTCTTAGATTGCCCAGGGCAGTTCCTGGTAATTCTATTATCGATTGAATTTACACTCTCTCTGGGGTCTTCAAATAACATTGAAGAGATTCTACACAGATAACATAGTCTGTACAGATGGTAAAGTTAAGTTGGCTAAAAGGTTTTACTTTCTACGCGATAATGCTCGTTGGTTTAACGGTAGCAATGTATGGCTAATAATCAACGGGCCGGTGGTTCGAACCCCACCGGGGCCAAATTTATATTTTTTTGAAACATGTTGAACTTCGCCTGGACATCTGGATATTAACGAACCACCTGTCACCGATGAAAAAGCCGCGAAGTAATCGCGTTTCGGTTCCAGTCAGTCTTTTCCGAATATACAAAGCCAAAAAAGGGTCGACAGCACATCTTGTGTAGATGTTATATTTCGTCTCGCATCAAGAAAACCCCATGCTTATCTGTTCTCCTTTATCATTAAAAAAATACGCGAATGTATGTTTGTTTGTCCTGCGTACTTACTTAGCTACCAATAATGCTCATAACTAAATAATAAACGCCCAATTATGATTAATTTTCCAAATTTTAAGAACAGCATTTAACAAACATTCGGGTCAGTGGGTCGGGACAAAATCCCTAATTTTATTACTTCATACTTCAGAAAGATTGAGCAAAAAATGCTTTCAAATAAAACACTTTTAACGAGTTTAAACGTGAAATATACTAGTGAAGTTATTTTTAATTTAATTAAAGTAGGTACTCGTATTTTTTAATTTATAAAGTACTTCTTTAAATTAGTTAATAAATATTTACACATTACACATTACAAAACATTGTTATTTTTCTTTACTTACTTACAACATATTCTTCTATATATTTCCATTCTGTTGTGGGTGTTTCGCGCGAGCCACTTTGAGCTAGTTGAAATATTTTCAATTCAGATAGAGTGTTCAAAATGTTAATATTTCACAGATTATATAGAGTTTAATTACAAGCCTCTAAGTACCAAGTAAACAAATTCCCTTTATATTAGTCGCCTATGCTGACATCTGTCGTGTTTTATAACGAAGTTCGTCATAAAAGGCGTGGAGTAATTAATTTTCGTGAGCGTTAAGGTTGATATTAATATCTGGGTTTGGCTTCAGACCTGTGTATTATTAGAGTAGTAAGCTAATATAATATAGGTTCTTCTTAACACTTCTACACTTTTTGTTAGATTTCTTTACAATTCTGTTAGTGTTCATTATCCAATAAAATAAAATACAGACACAAAACTAATCATGCTTTTATATTAAATACTGTCTGTAGTGTACGCGAGTAGTACACATTTAAATAAAACACTTTAACGGCTTAAAACGCGATATGTATTCGTTAAACTTATTTGGAAAGTATTTTTAATTTCGCTGTGAATGCTTTGCAGGAGCATTCACAGCGAAATTAAAATAAGTTCAAATAAGTTTATTTATTATTTATTTTTAACTAATATATATCGCGTTTTAAACCATTAAAGTGTTTTATATAAACTCTTTTATATTGTTTCTAATTTATCTTAGATCTTATACGAAAGTTTGAACTTTAAATGGGGAATATCTAAATTTTGTCTGAGAGACGAAACATCTTCACAAGTGGAAAACCGTAGTGCGATTCGCGCTTAGTTTGAGTCTTAAGTTCGTATATGTAGGTTTCGTTAAGTTCACATTATACCGACAGCATATCAACATAGCAGGTGTAACCGTCCATAAAGTGAAAACATATATAACTAGTAGTGTTAGCGACTTCGTCCGCGTAGAATAGTTATTTTGGGTGTCTTGTCGTTTTTGCAAGGTAATCTTAAAAGATAGACGTATAACATTATATTTAGATTTAGATCAGTTAACGATGAATCATTCTTAAATACTGTCTATAGTTTACGCGAGTAGTACACATTTAACACAGCCGTGGTCACGGGGAGACAAAGCTGCTGCAAAGCATCCGAAACGTGGGGCCGAAGTTAAAAATCATTTTCAAATAAGTTTAACTAATATATCGCGTTTTAAACCGTTAAAGTTTTTAAATTAAATAAATCATTCTTATATACACATTTCGCGGGTATCCTAAACCGTTTTCGTAGCGTACGCAACTGATACCGACAACGATTGATAATTTTCCCCGTTTCTTCCACATTTCGAGCTGTTGCTTCGCTCTTATAAGTTGCAGCGCGATGCTTTTTGGCATTCCTCGATAAATGCTCTAACCAACACAAAGATAATTTTTCAATTCGTGCCCGTAGTTCATGAGATAAGCGCGTTCAAACAAACAAACAAACTCTCCAGCTTTATATAGTATAGATTAGATTCTTAGTATTTTCTATTAAACATTATTTATTTCGTAAGTATTCCTTCTAAGAATTCTTAAAAGGCGGCCATCTTGAACAATTTGAAATCTATCCGTAAAGAGAAAATAAGGATCTAAAAAATATATTTTATTTCTATTTAAACCGTCTCCACCTCATTTGCGAAGTTTAGGCTACAAAGAAATAAATAGCATTGTTATAGAATACAGAATGTGAAGGATCCAAAATGTTTAACGATGTTAAAGCTTGACCTTTTGCCCCCGGATCGAATATCGTCTCTTTGTTCTAAGTTTATGTTAGGTGCTATATCGACTATATCTACACTTTACGTAGGGAATTTTCTATTAGGACATACCTCTGGATTTTCGGTTTATCTATAAAGCTGGAGAGTTCGTTTGAACTACTGTTTCAAATTGAAAAACTGTGTTTCTGTTGTTTTAACCAATATTGAGTAAGTATACATCATCGCGATCAATAAGAACAAAGAAACTGGGGGAAATGTGGTAAAACGGGATAAAAATATTCATATTTGAGGCCGCTTTGCGAAAATGGTTCAATCCTACTAATATTATAAACGTGAAAGTTTGTATGTGTGGGTGGATGTTTGTTACTCTTCCACGCAAAAACGACTGAATGAATTAAAATAAAACTTTTCAATATTATAGCTTATAAAGATATTGTGTGAGCTGTCCAAAATATGACATTAAGTGTCACTTAACTAGAAAAAAACCTTCTTTCTGCGAGCTATTCTGGCGTACGCTGCCATAAACGTTAGTTACACATAATTATGTTACGAAAGACATCGTTTAGTTTAAATGCGCGATACTATGTAATCCTAATCCTGCGTAGACGAAGTCGCGGGCACCAGCGAGTATACTCATAAAATAAATATTTTTCTTTAAATGATCTAAAATTCGTAACAGTATGTATATGTATCTTTTAAGATTAAATCACAAGACCTGTTTTTATGATGAACAAAATTCGTCAAAATACTTCATATGACAAAAGAACGTTTGGCCGGTAAGCTAGTACTAACATGCATCTACTTTCACTCAACAAGAAATCGAAATTTAAATAAAACACTTTAGCGGTTTAAAACGCGATATATTAGTTAAACTTATTTGTTTATATATAACAATAAATATCGAGCTTTATTTATTGTTTAAATGTGTACTCCTGGCGTTAAATATTAACAGTAAGAAATCGGAATGTTACAAATAACAGTATCAGGAAAACTAACTGAAATTATTACTATTAACTTAACTATCACAATATGTAAGGTATTAAAAGGTGCAGTAAGTATGCTGTCGGATTATAATAACTCCAAAACGAATGGCGTTCGCAGCGTACTATGCTACTACAACCAATTAGGCTACCGTATCGTTATTTTTTTCAATCTCCATTGTCTTTTTATATTAATATAACGTCATCATGTGCAAACATGTGAAAAATAAGTTTTTAAATAAATAACTAATCTATTTCGGGTTTTAAAGCTTTAAAAGTGTTTAATGGTACTCGCGTAGAGTACATACAATACTGTATTAAACCAATGTTGCAGTGGTTGAACATTCGCGGCCTCGTGTTTGCTCACTCCCGGAGAAGCCGTACAACCCCCGGATCTCTGATGACCTCTATCGGCTGCGGACATTCTCGATCACCACCAAGGGGGGTGTCGTTAATTGTGGCGACTCTATTTGCAATCGGCGGAGCCGGTCGAATACTTCTGTCAATTCCACTAATAGCAGGTAATCATTTTAATTCAATAAGTCCAAGAGTTTCTAAGGATTTTTTTTATATAGAGGAAAACAGATAAGCATCAAGTTCACTTGTGGAAGCTGACATAGCCCAGCCACATAACATCTAAACAAAGTGCGTTGTCGACCTATTTTGACAGACTCGTTGGTGGCGGTATGCAATGATTGCTAACAATCAAGGGGTCAAGGGGTTTAAACCCCATCAAATCCAAAATTTATGTGATAATTTTATCAATTTTCTAAAACATGTTGGACTTCTGGAAATCTAGGTGTTAAATAGATGGTAGGAGTATAAAAATTCCGCTTACGAAGCCGTGAAACTTAGTCTGTAGATCTCCGAATATACAATGCCAAAATAGGGCATCTTGTTTAGATGTTATATGAAGTTTTTCATCTACCATTTAGTATGACCCCATGCCATACTAAATGGTATGCCTAAATGGGCCATAAGTCTTAATGGTGAGACTTGTCTATCCTCGTCTGAGACAGGCATATATGTTTTTATAACAATTAGTTTTTATTACTCAGGAATTGAAGGAAACGTCTTTAAAATATAAAAATCCTTACGTATTAGAAATTATGGAGTTAAATATAAGAGGGTATTACGACACTATATATCTTGCTCGTGTTTTTAACAGTTACTGTTTTTTTTTACGTTTATTGTACATTATTTGTATATTTTTCTCTATAATCTGCATCCATCAAAGTCTAAAAAATAAATACTACAATTATTATATAGCAATGTTATCTATTATTCATTTTTAAATTAAATCTTTAATTCTATATATTTTAATTAAATTTAGGCTAAGCGTTATGTCTCCTTCTTCGATTTATTAATAATTGAAAAGATACTTAGCGGGGCACGTCACTCGTTAACTACATGCGAAACATTGGTATTACTTAATATTAGCTCTACTTTATTTATATATTATACAATACATTCGCTGTATCGCTTCTTTTTTGATTATATTTATTTATAATGTCATTAAAACAGAAACAATTGTTCAGTAAAGTCTGTGGTTTACGCGAGTGCCACTCTTAATAAGAATGCTTTGTCCCTACCGTGACCACGGCCGGTACAAAGCATCCGAAACGTCAGGTCGTAGTTAACTAATATGCTTCGTACACGTCGTTCGTATCCGTCGTAAAGAGTGTTTAAAACAGTTTTTAATGCTGTAAGATAAAATCAGTTTTCGAAAATTCCATATAACTAAGTAACATATTTCCCAGCCCAAGCTTCGAACTGAGATACCATCTAACCTATGATATGCATACTAATAATACAACAAAATTATGACTATAACTGCAATATATATTCTACTAAATGATTATCTAAATAACTTGAAAAGACCTATAATAAGTCTCCTTTGACTCAAAGCCGGTTAAGAGTGGAAGACGTATTCAAGCCGATTATCTGATAAAAGTGAGTGATTGCCGAGTCGCGTGTCGGGTGCCGACCTACATTGCTTTGTACTTTTTAACTAATGCGTAAGATAACACAAAGTTACGTTGGAATTCAAGACTAGGTACAATGCTTATCAATATGAAAGTGGAGCTGGTTTTTTTAGATATTTAGAACATCCAGGGTGAGAGGAATTTATTTCTTAACCTCACCTGCTGTGACATCTATCTAGCATCTATATTTTGGTGTAATGATAGCAATATATAGCTAATAATCAACAGTCTTGGATTCAATCAAACTAATTTATAATTTGTCTGAAACATCTTCGTCTCAAGGATCATCGTCTGGAAATCTGGATGTTTAATAACAGCACGAAAAAGATGTCAAGTTTAAACGCGTCTCGATTTCAGTCTGTGGAGTGTGTAGTTTCCGAATATCCAAACCCGAAATAGGTCAATAGCGCATTTTGTTTGATGTTATATTACTGGTGTATTTCCCCTACCATTAAGTTCGTGTCCTCCTCTATAATAAAAATGACTGTTGTAGATTAAATTAGATATTTAACTATAATTAGAATTAAGTTGAAAATATTAAAATAAGACCATGTTTTCAGGGCTTCAGACAGATCACCTTTCGATGGTTCCTGCTGTTCTGGTTACAGACCGGTCGATTCTGGAAGTCTGACCACGCCCGATGAAGATGATTTAGATCCGGTAAGCTATAGACAATAAATTACGAATATACCTAAATACAAATCTATAGATAGCGATAGATCATATATACATCTAGAACAAAAATATAGATTTAAATTTTGTTATAATGAAAATTACAATTTTTTTTTATTTTATTTATCTTACTACTAAAAAGGTAAATTCCGCATGGGGTATGGGACATAAATATTCGTGTTTTACTAATTGATTTTATTAACAGACAAGTAGTATATCAGATTTCTTTCTGAAAGTCATTAGAAAATGTTAGATCCGGTGGAACTCAAACCCACGACCTGTTGTCGCCATTATTTGCCATTTACACCAATGAGCCCGTCGAAATTCAAATATGTTGTCTATATAAAGTATTTTTCCCTAACTTATTGTATTTCTTCTTTAGATTCCAAAATACCGCGTGGTGCTGTTAGGTGACGCAGGTGTTGGCAAGACAGCGCTGGTGTCTCAGTTTATGACGTCAGAATACATGAATACTTACGACGCTAGCTTAGGTGAGGATCATTAATTTTCATTAATATTCCATCCAATAACGGTATAATAAAAAATTGCTGTGCCCACGACTCCGACGTCCCATCGTTTTGCGGGTTAATCTTAAAAGATAGACATATATTATGCCGGACCTTTTTAAAGTATTTGAATTGTTTGTTTTTTATTAAATTATACGCAGCAAAAACAACGGAAGCTTTCTAAGACGAATATTTTTTCGTTTTTCCACACTTCTCTTTGTTCCTTCGCTCCTATTGGTCGCAGCCTGATGTTTTATTACCTAAAGCCTACCTCGATAAATGGTAACACTAACACAAAAATAATTATTAAATTCAAACTAGTAGTTCCTGAGATTAGCGCGTTCAAACAAACTCTTCAGCTGTATAATAGTGGTATAGTATTTTCGTACCAAAACATTGCTACGCTTGTCTACAGCGTTGCTACGGAATAGCTACGCCGGTCGCGGTGCTACGGTATAGAGATTGAATGGTGCAGTTTATAACTTAGGTAGATGTGCGATCACTAACGAATAACGAGAAATAATGTTACTAATAATTATATATAAGTTGGCGAGTAGTTTCTAAGGCGAATATATTGATCACAATAGGAGTTTTGGTAGGCGACAGACGGCTGTACATGTTTTTGCTTTGAAATTACCGCTAAGTCCAGTTGACTCTTATTACAGGAAGTAAAACTAATAGTGGAACAGTCTTTTATGGGGAAATAGATAATTTGTACGACGTTTAATGAGAGTGAAAATAGCCGACAGCCGTTTTCAAGCTGGCGTCACGACAAAAATTAACTCTTAACAGCTTTGTTTTATTCTAATACAATGCTTATAAGAAACATTGTATATAGATTAATTTAAGAAATAAGTACTGCTTTTAAAAATATATTACTGTTATCTCGAAAAATGTGACCTGGATTGTTATATGAACATATAATAATTAGCGTTATAAAATATAGTATAGGCTTTAATAAATATTAATAATAAATTATCTCATATAAATAACGTGCATAATTAAAACAAATGTAACTAAACCGCTATCGAGTTTACTGAATGTATATAAACACCTAGTTTAATACGGTCGGTTTTCTATCGTTACATTTTGATCTTAAACATAAGTGTGTTAAAGTTCAAAATCACTTAGCAACGCCTAATGTATTGGTTAGGGATTTACAATCGCGATACATTTGTACTACGGTCGAGTTACGAATGCAAAACGTATTCGGATCTTGACATTATGTACGTTTACATTTTGTGGAATCTATGTCATTATGTTATTAAATTCTAAGCCAATTTGATACTATGTAATTTATACTTTCAAGGCTAGCAGAATGCACTATAATGTTTTATATAGATTTATTTATAATAGAGTATGTCCGACAAGTACAGAGTTCACTTGATAGAAGTTGAAATACTAAATGACATCTCAACAAGTTGTGCTGTTGACCTATTTTAGCTTTGGATATTCGGAAAACCGCAGACTGAATCCGAAACGCAATTAAAAGCCAAGGTTTTTTCATCTGTGGACGGTGTTTCGTGAAGCGGATTAATTTTCGACATTCCTACCCCCATTTCATATCCATATTTCCGGAAAAATTCTAACATGTTTTAGGAGAATTATAAATTGATTAGAAAAATGTTTTGACCGGCTATGATGATGATTAGGACGATCATTAGCCGTACTTAGTGTTCGTCAAAAGATACCTTACGTGAAGAAATAACCAATTTCTAAACTTGCGAAAGTATAATCTATCTTAGGAGTTATTGGTTCATATAATTTTTCGCAAGTCCATTTCTCCTTCACGTAGCGGACAAAGAAATACTTTTTGCCTAATAATACATATAATCTACAAGAAAATGAAACCTGTTTGCTAGTTTGTTTTTAATTTATTTTCGTAATTATCCCTGTACTATATCGGCTGTCCATTAACTGTTTGTTAGTTGAGTATTGCATTGTTATCTTATCTAAAACAAGAACATTTTATTCTATCACTTAGAAACGTAGTGTGACAGTGTCTGTTTTAATTATTATGTAATTTACTTAATTATATAAAGAAATAGAAAATCTTTATCTGTATGTATATATATTAAAACAAGAAATAAATTATTTTACCTGTTTTTCTGTGTGTATTCGCCAGTATCGGACAGAAGTGCACAGATCGTTGTCGCGGTTTTCACGAATAGATAACCTTAGCTAAATAAGGAAAACATTTTAAAATTTTGAATCTGATAATAATTTCTTTAGAAGCATATTCATTAAAAAAAGCCAGTTTTAATAAAATGCTTAACGATTAAAACGCGATCAAACTACTACAGATAGCGCTGGCGTAGCGGTTTTGACTTTGACGTTAGGGCCAACCCTCCATTTTAATATCCTCATGCCGACAACTGCCACGAAGCAGCTGAAACGTCGGGTGATAGTAAAATTAAATTAAAAATAATATAAGTATATTTCGCCTTATAAAACCTTCTTACAACAGTTTTATTTAAATGTTAATTCCTCGCGTAAATTACAGACGGTAAGCCCAGGTCTATTTTTCCACGAAAATGAAATCGGGAACGAACACCAGTTGACTATTACTTTTTTCTAGTCTTTATGGGTTTTAAACGTAATTATATTATAGTTTCCAATAGCCGAATTCGTAAAACGAAAACATTTGGTATTTCTTTTCACAGCAGTAATCTTTGTTTTAACAACAAAGCCGGCACTTTTGATGTTAAATAATTTATTAAGAACCGGAGAAGTGCTTTTACGGTGCGCCGAAATGGTTCATTAAAATTTCACGATCCGCTTTTAATATCATTACATATATTTATATTATGTGAGACTTCGCCACCACAAAAGTAATTTATTTATCCTAAAACAATTGTAGTTATAACCATCATACTTGAATAATGTTTACATTTTCTTATTTAACTGTTTAATTTATTTATTTTTTGACACGCTGCGGGTGCGTGTTCAAGTCCTGCCCGAGTCCGATTTTGAATTTGTTTAATTTATTCTTATTAGATTCAAAATTGTCGGAAAGCACTTTTCAATATTTAGTAAAGCACTCGAAACTTAAATTCATAGTTAATTTAAATATGTTTAAACATGTTCTATTCGCGTTAAGACAGGACTTAGATTACAATTTAAAGATGCAACTGCCTTGAAATTCGATAGAGATACGGAAATATGTCTCATTACTACCACTTAAAGTGAAAAGATTTAATTTTTGCTGCACACCACCAGAAACAAATAAACTAAATTTTACTTGAGCCATGTTAATCTATGTAAATAAAACTTACTATTAATATAATTGGGTATACAGTAAAGTAGTAGATAACACATCAAATAAAACACGTTTCAACGGTATAAAACCCGAAGTATATTCATAAACTTATTTCCCAGTGCAACGTGACGTTTGCTTTGCAACAGTCGCGGTCACAGGGTACATACGTAACTTAGAAAACCGTTTCAGATACACGACTCAAACGGTATGTACCTTCAAACTTTGTACGTCAATTTTAGCTGGTGTGTGGATTTTCCCTTTTGTTTTCATAAAGTTGCTCGACAAGCTATATATGATTTTTGAGGCTCAAAGATTTTGACATACGCCATCGTTTGTAGTTCAATCAACGATTAACCAAAGATTAACAGAAATAACTTTGTGTTATACGTATATTTTTTCTTGCTTTCTTTAATTTTGAGAAGCCCCCATGCTTGTTGCACCCGGTTAGGATCGAATCCACTACCTGTCTTCTGCCCAACGTTTCGGATGCTTTGAAATAGGTCAAAGGTAGTTTAAATAAATTAAAATTAACTAACACATCTTACCTTTTAAGCTGTTAGAGACAGGACTTGATAAATAATTTATTCGAAAAAAGTGCTTATACCTTGACATTTAACATAAGCCTGCATTTAGCTAATAAATATGTAATATGAACCAACGTCATAGTCTCACAGACGAGGGTTTTTAAATTGTTTTCGAGTTCTACAAACGAGAATCGAACCTACATCCCACATTTTGCAGTAAATTGAAAATTTTTACGACCACACTAGCGTTCTGTACAGTGTACAGTCCTCAAAAACCGACTATTAGACCCGCGTTCGAGTCGTTTTTTGGCAACAACCTTTTTATCATCCGATTCACATATTTCTCACCTTCGCAAGTAGACTTTTAGTTTATGCTATGAACCACTAATACGTAACAGTAGTTTTTATACATACTAGAATAAGCTTAACACTACAGATTTTCCCTGGGGATTGGCGAAATTTATTTTTTACATAGGCAGTAATAAATATTAATAAATTTTGCAGAGACAATACAGACGCGTCTAATCTATCGCGTCACTTTAGTTCTACTTTATAAGTACTTTTACGATAAAGGGACCTAAATGCAATTCTATGACTTGACTTATTTATATTTTTAAAGTTATGTTAATTTACAAAAGTACAGTGACCGAATAGTATTAACATAATTATTACATAAATAATAGTACAAATTAATTTTTGCCTAAGTTAATTGCGCCATTTTTATTTTCCTTCTTATTGAAAATTATGGTTTTTGTTATTAGGTCTTAATTAAAGAATATAACGATACAACTCGGTGTGTTTCTGTAAAGGGCCATCATTCGTGATTAGTTACTTTGCAATAGACCATTGTTTAAGCTTAATTAAGATCTTAAGAAAAGCTTTAAGCACAATTCGTTTGAGTGCAATTTAATTATCCTCTCTTAAAATTTCGCCAGCCCCCACTCTGTCTCGCCATCGCTAACTCTTTTGTATATAATCTTCTTTTTGCTTTCACTCGTCTGGGCAGTTAAACGTGGTGAGTGCTAACTTATATTGTTTTAAGCTTTGAAATGTTTGTTGTGCTGTGCGCTTTTAATTGCATGCAATCAGTCGTTTATTAGCTATTCAGAATGCATTTGTATTGTTCATTTCATTTATTAATACGTAATTATTTAGACGTAGTTAGTACCTCAGTTGTTTTAGTATAACGTTAAGGATTCCAA